TTGTTAACACACTGTGCACAATTCTTTTCTAGTCTCTTTTTCTACTTTTTAGAGAAATTATTGCCAACAAACAGAGATTCTGTCCAAATGTATATACCTCCCACTGCAAAAAACACGTATGCATGCTTAATTATAAGGCAAATAAATTAAAGCAAAGCTTATATATGTTGGGCATGCATTACCATACATGAATTCATTGTTTGCCAAATTGAGCCAATGTAGGGTTGCCTTTGTCCCCCACTCTTCAAAGCTCCAAAATGCATCATTTCGAAACTCTCGGAATGCGGATCCCAATGTTGCTTCCACACGTGTTCTATATTATTTATCTTTTCTTTTTTTCTTTTGGGTTGGAAAAGTGTGCTTGAAGTTTGAATTTTGTGCATGATATCTCAGTTAGCAAGAGGGGAAAAAAGTGGAAGTTTAATACAAGGTTTAAATCACTATGAAGTTGCAAGGAAAGAATATAACCAAAACCCTAATAGAGAATGTACAGCATGATCCTTTATACGTTATTTCTTGAACTTACGAGGGCTATATTTAGCCAAAAAAAAAATAGTTCCTCACAATACGACGGATCAAAATTCGAATTCTCGCTAAAGAAAGTATCCATATTTAGTATTCGATGGTGCTTCGAACATAATTATCTCCAACATAAGGATACCTGTGCTTGAAAAAAATGTCATTTACTTGTTATGAGATTTTTTAGTAATTACTCATTTGATCTTATCTATAAGACAGAGAGAGAAAATTTTTATTGGTCCTATTTATAAGTTATTTCATTAAATTTTTAGCATAAATATACTATTTTGTCCTTTATTTATTATAGTGTAGATAGTTATTTTTTTAAAAGTGTATATAACAAATAAGGGTAAAGTTGAAAAGTTGTTATATTTTAATGAATAATTAATGCAGTTTAAGATTTTTTTTAGTCTATATAAAATATGTTGAAAGTACTTTATAAACAGAACCAGAGGAGTACATACCTTGCTTCAAATATAGTGATTTTCCCTTAATATAATTGTAGTGTAGAAATAATGGCGAGAGAGAAAGAGAGTATATAATGGGACAATTCTTTCATGATTTTGTTTTGAGCATGACACACATGTTAATAAGCTAATTAAAGGAGACTAACCTAATTATTATTTCTCCTCTTGATGGTCTGACCCAAAATGATGTGATTCCCTCATCACTCAATCACATGTACAGTTAGATCAGATCGAACCTACAAGGAAGGGGCATGAGGAGATAAGATGCATCTTTTAGCATTCATCTTTTTCTTTGTCTCGCATTCTCATCATAACTACACGCATGTGTTCTTTCTTTTTCTAAATTTAATCTTATCATTTATAATTTTACCTTTGATTGAAGTGGTTACAGAATCATTAGCTGCGACAACAATTTTAATTGCGGTTCCTCAAACTGCTGTACGTTTTTTGTAATGCTTGTAACTGTTAAAAACGCTCCAAATCATCTCTACAACTTCATGATTTTCTTATAGTGCTTATATATAGTACTTTTCACCTTTTCACTTTTTAATGACAAAGATTAATCTGGCATTTAAATTCAAATTGGTCATTGGTGAAGTTCAGGATATATTGCAAGACGATCTTGTAGGCATGGGGTTATCTTGAGAGATTTCTACTTACAGCTCTATTTCCAGATACTACCTCCGGTCCTTAATATAAGACCTTGTTTGACTTTTATATTGGTCCTACATATAAAACCCCAATCTATTTTGTCTCTCATATTTACTCAATTTTTTTCAAGATAGTCCTTCTAATAATTATAGTTTAACCAACATATTTGATTAATAAGGATATTTTAGGAAAGACAACACCTATTTATTACAAATAACTAACTTAACTTCTTTTCTTAGTTTCCTCAAATTAAGTCAACTGGCTCTTATAATTAGGATCGGAAGTAGTATAAGTCATTTATTATACTTCATTCTTGCATACTAAAAAATGCATTAAGTTGTTAAAATTTTTCAGAATTACCCCTATTAAAGAAAGGGTATGGAACAAGAATGTGATGTACATTCTCTCTCGCATATTATTTTGTTGTATTTAATGTGGATAAAGTTAGAAAAATATCATTAATCGATCTAGAAGTTATTTGTATTTGGAAACAAACTTTTTTCCTACAAGTGAATTAGCATATGAATAATTTACCTTGACAATAAATATAATGATATTAATATGAGTAATTCAATTAGGATAAAATGGGAAATTAAAAAAAAATAGAATAGAAAGAGACAACCTCTAAGTGTCTCTTATGATAAAAATTACTCAAATATTATCACTTATGAATAGAAACAAGTCAGAATAATTAATTATATCTTATGAAAAGGAAAAAGACAAGATAAAATAAAAGGCTGCCCAAAGGGTGTTTTGTTCCCCACTCTCAATTGATTCAACACACTTAACTCTTTCACATTCTTTCAACTTGTCAGTAAAGCGCATACTGATATATAGATCATATGATAGCTGCTTTGTGAGTTGGGACAATAAATTAAAACTTTGGTTCCCTTCCTTCAGCTCTCAACTTTTACCAAAGTCCCACGAGCACAGTTAACAGTTAACAGCAAGTTGTCTTAGTAGTAACGTCACCCGTCATATTTAGATGTGAAGTCCTGGATTTGAGTTTATCTCATCGAAATAAATAATTTCAGTTATTTTCAAAATGGATTTCAATTTTTTAAGACATGTTAAAGGTATTACCATATATATCTTCAAGGCCTTTAAATATCATTCCACACGCAAGACGAAGAACCTTCACTTTTCTGTGTCCAATAATTCCCTGTCATCACACCGACTATGTTATGGCTTTTGGGAGATTCATTGCCTTGCTTTGTTTCTCCTTTTTCTTCCGCAGAATTTGTCCTCTTCTTTGCAGTTTCACCAAAACTCCACTTCTTTTGGAATTCATGTGAAAATGACACTTAAATGGTCCAAACTCTATAAATATAACAGCAAATAAACAAAAAAAAATATAAGTCAGAAAATGACAACCCATATTCTATAAATGTCGTTTTGCATTATAAACTGTAGCCTTTTGTTTTGTTAGGAAAAAGAAAATTGTAACTTTGAAAGCCTGTTCTGCTCAACATTCAACGATAACCTCTGCTCTGCATTTCTGGTTACATGTGGACCCCAAATGTTCTTTGAATTCTTTGCTTCAATTCTTCTCTCTTCTCAAATTGGGATATGTGCAGGAACTGGTCTACAAGTTCCAATTATAACAGGTCTCGAGACTAACTTTAACCTTTCTTTTTTTTTTTTAATACTTGTAATTGTAATCTGTAGCCATAAACTTGAAAAGGTCATATATGCATATGGTAAAGTGATATTGAACTTATATGTAGCCGTTGTTTGGGATCATGATTATAAACACATTTTACATAAATCAAGACAAAACTCTTCTCACATGCTTACATTATATTTCGTAAATTACAATTGATAAACTATTTATAAGCCACTTCGAACGAGTCTGTAATGTTTCTTGTTGAATGCAAAATGCCCCTTGCTACCTTGTATTAAAGATAATAATCATACTGGCTGTGGTTGAATGGAGCTTTCAGAATTTAGTGCATGATGTGGATGACATGAACAGAGCTCCCTTGTCCAATCCATAAACTTAAATTCTGCATTAGATTAGGGTCAATAAACCCAATGGCCTTGTGGCTTAGTGGGACATAGGTTCCTATTAAGTGAGTTCAATCATGTTTATAACCTCATATCAATAGTATCTGTCTTTTTAAATTAGGGGAAGGGGGGGGGGGAACATTTGGGTTCATAAACTAAGGTCAAGACGTGCAAGATTATCGGGCTAAAAGGGCTCTCTATAAACCATTGGGTCATCCGTCTTCAAACCTGAACCTCCCTCTTGCATGAGTCTCCATATGATCCCGCCCCATGAACTTAATATTGTGTTGGTGAAAAATCATTTTGTATGTAGCTGTGTTTTATCAATTCTTAATTTGAATCCATAACTTTTTATCTCCAGATTAACTCTTTTAACTTTGCTCGGTTAGCATTATTAGCTCCTGTACAGAAGCTAATAGTGCTAAGAGAACAAAGTTAAAAAAATTTAAGCAAAAGAAAAAGACACGAACACCAAATTAAAATTTGAGAAGTATAAAATACGTGTTAAATAGTTTTCCTTTCTGTTTGTAATACAAAGCAACTTAACAGATGAAGTATGGTAAAACCACTTGACATGGACTTACAGAGCACCTTTGAAGTGTCAACCATAAACTGAGGTAAAGCTACTTGACTGCATTGGCTGCCTAATTGCTAAGCCTCCTTTCATCTTAAGTTTTTACCGCATCAGACTTCGTTTCCAAACCAGACTTGTTAATCCACTCAACTTTAAACAACTCCATCAAACACTGAGAATTTTGTCATCAAAATTACATATGCATTACTAGAGATTAGCCTCCCTATGGTTAATGCTACTGTTAGGAATTTTATTTTCATATGGTTAGCTTCTAAGGCTAAATTAGCTTCCATGTATTTCAAAAAGAAAAAAGATATATTTCACTTTTCTTTATTTTCCTTCTCTTTCTCTTTATTGCTTTATCTTTTACAGCAATAGAGTTCTTATTCATTGATCCCTTTACACCAATTTCTACAGCCTTCTTTAGGCCGCGTGCATTATCCATTTCAATAAATCATGACCTTAAATGGCTAATCGTTGAATAAAAAGTCCCCTTTCTCACGTTCAAGGATGTAGCAATTCAGAGTTCCAAGATTGAACCTGCTTCAATTTTTCTTTTTATAAGGGTAAGCTCAACACATGAAGCACTTAAGGATCAAACCTGTAAGCAAGAATGAGGTTCATGTCACTAAGCAATAAGGTCATTTGCCACTACTTCAAATATAGCCCCAAAAAAATGAATCCAGGGTACCGTCATCATTATGTATACCTATCTTCTAGGGTTCTTCATGGTAAAACTAACGTAGAATTTAAAAGGAGACACCAAGATGTAAGATTAGAAGTATATATACAATCCACTTTCCTTCCTACGCTTTTATTTTCATCTATTTTCAACTCTAGAAACTTTACAACATACAACAAATGACGCTATACGATCAGACTACATCACAATAACACCATATCTTTTCCTACTTCCTTCAGTTGAATATAAATATAAAATACATAAGAAATGAGAAAAGTGGGAACAAAACCGTGTTATGTAGTATATACATGCAAAATTCCAATTTCATTCCATTCTGACCGCTTTCTTGTCCTTTGAATATCAACAGCACCCTCACTCAGCATCCTGAGGAGCCAAAAAAGAAAGGACATTATTAAGTTACTAGCCAACAATGAAAAGTACACATCCATCGATGAGTCTGGATCATTGAACTATTAGATGACAATACTTTTTTGATCCTGGAAGATTCATTCAAATTGTGATATGTAGAGGGGAAAACCCAATTGAATCAAATTTTATGTGTATTTCATTTTCAAGTATAGAATGAGTCACATGCTTCCTCAAGTTTTCTTTCTTTCTTGGTTCATTTAGGCTCCAGCTGGGGTTCAAACCTGGATCCTCCGTGTCATACCAGTAAAGTCAAAGTTCATGGGTGGCCGGTTGCTTCCTTTATCATGTATAAAGCATAAATAAATTGAAAGAAAAGATATGAACACTGCACTTACCGTAACAATGAACAAGGCCACACATTTAATGCCAGCATGCCATGTCTTGTTTTGAAGCTGTTTGCAACCATTACTGCATCTGGAGATAATTCTTAGCTGGGAAATATCCACCAGCTACCTCTCTGCTGCTGGTTGTTGTGTTCTTGATTAAAGACATGCTAGACAGAGATACCAGTCAACCATTGCAAACAGGATGCCGTCATGACTTGGTAGAGATTATAAACACGTAATTTCAACTCAGCAACCAGACCCAAAGCAACGAGCCACTGCCTCATAGAGCTGTTCTACTTCGAATGGCTTTGACACATAGTCATCCATCCCACACATATTGCACTTTTCGATTGAAGCTTGAGTTACATCAGCTGTCATAGCCAATATCGGCATGTGCCAATGAGCCACATTGCCCAACATCTCTGATGATCCTTCACCATGTGCAATTTTTTCATTTAACTCTCTCTCCAGACTGCGGATTTGTCTGGTCACTTCAAATCTGAAAATGACAAGAACATTTGTAAAATTATAGCTTAGTTAGGAATCCTGCTCTGTGAAATCCTATCTAGAAAAGAACGTAGAATCTATTACATTTCTAACATCTGCAAAGTGGCCGCCCAACATATTGAACAATCTTAGAAATATTAGAAATCAATATAAAGTTGTTCATCAAGCTAAGGCGGCAGACGGATTTTGGGGACACCCCTGGGAGGATGTGGAAGGTACATTTACAGGACGGTCTAGTCCTGTCTCTTTCTCTCATCCAACCCCCTCCCTGTTGAAGGGGATCCAGGTCCCTAAGGCCAGAACTAATACTTATTTATCTTTTCAACCCAAACTAACATTTGAAAATATATATATACATATATTTGATAGCTTTATAAGAATTTTGGTCCATGAGATCATATGAAGAAAAGCATGCAGCAATATCAACTTCCCTAACCAAAGAAGGGTATCTAACGATCCTAGACAAATGAACTGTCAACATAAAGTTGTTGACATACTGAAAATCGCTTATACCATTCTCCATAAAAGTGGTTATACAAAGTCAGAGCATAATTACATGATATTTTCAACTCCACAAATCATGGATTATGTGGATAGCTTCACAGGTCAATAGTGCAGCAGTTAGGCTCAGCAGAAATAAGTCTCAGTTCAAATATAGCGAGCCGGTTATTTGCAAAAACATATTATGTACATGCTGATTTCTTGCATTAACTTAGTTAAACTATTATGCTCCAATATGCGTGCATGTTTTCTCCGGTACAGAAGATAACTACATTGTCTAACATTCTGAAAGAATCATCAAAGTAGGACATTATGAATAGACAGATCAATTACCCGTCCATCTCTGGCATTTGGAGATCCATGAAACAAGCATCAAAACTATGTGGTGGCTTAAGTATCTTTAAGGCAGCCTTGCCACCCTCCACACAGGTTACTTTAGCCCCATATCTTCGTAGCAAACCTTCAGCTACTTTTCTGTTCACTGCATTGTCGTCAACCACCAAAATATGTCTCTGTCTTAGCAAGTTCCCAAGGTTTGGTTCTTTCTTTCTAATTATTTGCTTCTTCTCACTTCCAAGGGCTTCTCTGTAGGAGCGAATCAAAGCACTAAACCAAAGAGGTTTCATTAGAATATCATCTACAACACCAACAGATTTTAGCTCACCACGTTCATCAGGACTAAGCTTGTTGGTCAAGAGGAAAATCTTGGGAAAACATTTTGGGTCTCTTTTGATGTCATCCTGCCTGTGCTGCTTGATAACATACAATTCACTACTTTCTTTATCCAAGACATCCTTTTCTATCAGAATCATCTCCAACTGTTGAGAAATGCTGGGAAAACATAAAAGTAATATTTAGCAAAATTGACTTCTAATGCGTGTTTTCAGATATTAAAACCTTTCATGTGTAAATTTATGGTGAAGCAAAATAAACCATATCACCTCCACTACTTCAAAAAAATTCCCACTTTTCAAAGAATAAACTATTGCTTTTATGAGACTACAAAAAAACAGAATTGTATCAAGTAACATGCAATCTTCACTTCCCATCTGAAACATGCAACAGTTTAAACATGGTATCTTAATTTGTTTTGGAAATAGCTCTTTTTGTTCTTTCTCTGCTCCAGAAGTCGTGATACAGAAAATCTATATTCTACAATTAGTAAATTACTCATGCACAAGGTTTATCCGATGGTGCTCTGCATGGTACCTTTGGAACAATAATACTCATATAACATGCTTTGGTGGTGCTCTGATGTCATTTATTGTTTTTTTTTTTTTTTTGCAAATTCAGATGACCTTAATATAATTCAAATGGCAAATGCAAAATTACCTCTTGTTGGAAGAACCAGATAGATAAGAGCATGCGGAGTTAACACTATAAGCAACATCCACAGACATCCCCATCCTCTGCAGATAATATCTTGCAACTTCAGCACGGATTTTTCTTCTATCCACCACAAGTGCTCTCAATCCTTGAAACTCTGAAACAAAAGGATCGCACTGCTGCTGCTTTGTATCCAGAGATGAGGCTTTCGGCATCCTGAAAGTTGCACTAAAGGAAAAGGTACTGCCAATCCCAGGTTCACTTGCAAATCCGATTTCTCCTCTCATGAGGTCGACTAAACGTTTACTAATACTCAGTCCTATTCCAGTCCCACCATATGTTCGTGAGGTGGAACTATCAGCTTGCATAAAAGGGGTGAATATGCGGTTTTGGGCATCCAAAGGAATCCCTATTCCTGTATCCTCAACCGTCACTAGTAACTGAATCACTCCAGGCTCATCCATCAGATTCATACTGCTTAGCCTTTTGAAATTTGCCCAGCTTTTCCATCTATTGACAACAGGAAATCCACTCAATGTATTATATGTTTTGTCTGAAATGTCCTGGAACCCTTGACTCAGCACAACATCCATAGTGTCAAGCGGGCTCTTTACTTCATTTGACAGATGAACCGATACAAATACATGTCCTTTAACATGAGTGAACTGAAATACAACAAACAAATAAATGATTAGAGATCATGAAACAATAACGAACGTGGCATTTTAGGGGTATCAGGCAAATCTGCTGGTACAAGTGCATGTCCTTTATCAGAAGTGAATTGAAATGCAACAGATAAATCAATGACTTCACGGATATCAAGAAAATCTGCCGGCTTAATACAAAATTTATGAATAATGAGGGTAGCAAGAGGGGAAGAGAGACAAGTCATATAACATATTGGCAAAAGCCCATGCCAAATAAACAGCGGGTTAAAAAGTCACCAAGAAACATAGAAAATGCATCCTGAGGATAATGAAAGATGCAACATTCTTCATTTGCTCAACTTTGATCTCTCAAGTAAAGTTAGTAAATGGTCCAAAATCATCTTCAAGATAACAATTTTTTCAATGAGAATAGATTAATTGATGTAATTCATGGAAGACATTCATACGTAGGCCAGTGCTAACAGATGCTATCCTCGTAGGGTGAGCAAATTGTCATATACTTTGTAAAGCAAGCATAAAAGTCCGAGAAGTATAAAAAGTGCAGCAAGAAACATGCCATACCTTGAGTGAATTTCCAACAAGATTAGTTATTATTTGCCGGAATCGTTTAGGATCACCAATGACAACTTCTGGCACCACTTTGGACACATAAACAGCCAACTGTACTCGTCCAAAAGAATACAAACCCAGGTTTATGTAAGAGTTAATACCAAACTACTACCTGAGGAACAAAAAAGGGTCAAAAGCATGAATCTCACCTCAATTCCTTTTTCATTAGATTTTCCCGAGAAGAGTGATAGGACTTCATCTAGAATAGAACGCGGATCAAGTTCTACAGCTTCAAGTTCAAGCTTTCCTGCCTCAATCTTAGCCTGATCAAGAACCTCGTTTATCACTGATATAAGATCTTTACCACTCTTGTGAGCAGTCTGAGCATAATCCAGCTGGCTATCATCTAGTTCAGTATCCATCAACATTTGCAGCATACCTGGAAAATGACAAGAAAAGTTGACTTTAACTTACTGTCAACGAATAGGGAAGTAGTTAACATAGGATCAAGTTCTTTAATTTTTTTTTTTATATTACCTAAAACACCATTCATTGGAGTCCGAATCTCATGTGAAACTGTTGCCAGAAACTACAAAAAATGTAAATCAAAATACAAAAGTCATTCCAGGAACCATAAGTATATTTAAGATAAATAAAAAGGGTTACATTGTCATGAATACTAATACTAATGGGCAATGATGACAATCATGTGAACTCAAGTTGTTTGAGAAAATAAAGTCAGAGATCATCTTGTCATCAGCCTCGCAATTATTTTCCAAAAGAAAAACCAACTGCTACGGAAATATAAGAAACCTGAGATTTTGCTACATCTGCAGCTTCAGCTCGAACCATGAGCTCCCTCATTTCACGATAGTCATCCTCCACTTTTGCTATTCGGCTGATTGCTGCATAAAAAATATGACCAAGAAGCAAAGTAATAACAAGTACCCCAACTGATGCATTGATTGCCGTCCAAGGTAGTGGAGGCTTGTGCTTGAACCTGGAAAAAAATAATGAATAAATAAATTAATCAAATTCAGCTTATATGAAGCTCCAGGACTTGACAATTTCACATTGAGAAGGGCAAAAGCAAACCTGCAATGCATCTCATGTTTTCGTGTAGGATCCCCAAAATCCAGGTTGCTTATATGTAGTGACCCAGTATCAACAACATCAGTACCATACATTTTGATAGGTGCAGAAGCATTAGTTGTATCATAAACATTTACAACAATGGTTTGCTTGCTGGCAAGTTGGTGAAGGAGCTTGTCCACCAGTGATGGAACATCATAGGAAGCACCCAAGTACCTAGAAACAGACTAACATATGAATTAACTGGCTCATGAATACAATGTGAATGTTAATTTATAACAATTTGGTGAAAATTTTTATTTAAAATACCCAACAGTAGCTTCAATGCGTTGCTTCGGTGTAGCGTGTGGAGGAAAATTAGCATTGTAGACAGCAAATGTAAGGACAACACCCAGGTGATTGGACTTCAGTAGTTTAAAAGGAGACGTTAGCACTCCCTTTCCTGTTGCTCTTGCTCGCAAGATATTCTCACGGTCTTCCTGCATAACAGTAACAAACTAAGCAGTCAAACAACTACACAATCAAGCAATTTAATTCACAATTCTATACAAAATCGCTTTGTATCTTGTCTCTTTTCAATATATCGCATGCATGAATTAGTATAAACTAAGACCTGATAACTCATACTCAATATCAATACACATATAAAAGTTGAATATTTTTAAGCAACAAACTTTTAAACTGTACATCCATATATTTATCCATGCACAAGAGACTCTAGATACATCCACATACGGGATAATCCAGTGCTTACAGTCATCCTATTGCTGCCATTATTTTATCCCAACACTTAACTTTTGCCTTTTAAAAAAAAAATTATGTAAAATAAAGTTCAAGATATAATTTATTTTGCGCGTTCAGCTCCAAATAATAAAACCAAGATTAATGGTAATAGTAATAGTAAATGATTCAGAAGTCTAATGCTTCCAAATTGAATAAAGAAAATTAAAGACAAACGAGTAAAAGATCTGTCAGAGAAAACTAAACGCAAGCTTTCTTCCTCTTACGAGGGATTAACATTATAAGAACATTCATAGGATCGTGAAATTGACAGTTTCAGACAGTGCCCCAAATTCTGCTTGAAATAAGGAAATTAAATAAGGGCAACAATAAGGTAAGAACGCCAAACCTTTCCAGACATCATATGAATAGATACAATATGGGAAATTAAATAAGGGTAACAATAAGGTAAGAACGCCAAACCTTTCCAGACATCATATCGATAGATACAATATGGGAAACAGTTTCTTGAGCAAATATCACTGGTGCATATTCATCTTGAATGGGTGCAGGATCAAGATTTTCCGGAATACAATCTTGGACAAGTGTTTCATTCTCAGTCTCCATTTTCTTAATCGTCCACCCATTCTGCTTTTCAAAATGCTCCCTATCAGAGTGGAGAACTTTCAGAGCATAAGCAACACCGCTGGTGAGTGGTCTCTCAAATGCTGTTCTCTCTGTATATTCTCCAAATGTTTTCTGCAGAAGAACATAAAAAGCTTCAAGATTAGTTTTCCTTCTCTTTGTATTTTGTCTTATTTTTAATTTATGATTTCTAATTTCCTGTCAAGACGGCAGCAAGAAAAGCAACTAAGGAGTTGAGAGATGATACAATAATGTCTTGGTGACCTTGTTTGCAAACTAACAAGATAGGGGTCAGCATATCTTTTAGGCAAATAGGAATGAGCTTGAACAAATTTCCTTAATAAAATCAATAATTCCACTTGTTCACTAATGCTTGAACATCAAATGCCAACTATTTTCCTGGCTTTACAAATAAATAATCTCCATATGCCCCTTTTCTTGTGTATTCATCATATTGAGCCAACGTAAACCCTAACCTCCAGTAGCTAGAATTGAACCAATCGGTCAACTCTAGCCTTCTTGTTTTCTCCCAAAAAAAAAAAACTCTTTCTGAATGGCTTCATCTCCACCGCCACCCTCCCAAACAAAGCCCGAGATATAGTTACATAGAAATAAAATTATTTTATTAATTATTAGGTCATTAAAGATCTACATCATAAATATTCCCTTAAATTATTAAAATTAACTTAGTATATACTTTTTTAATTTTTATTAATTAATTTTCATAAAACTAATCTATGGCTATATTTTTATGTTCCAGCATTTTTATATTATTATACATAATTTAATATTTAATGATTTTTTCATGTTGTAAAATTATTTTTAAAAATTTGTTGTTGTTATCCATATAGAAAACTCCACCTAGTGGGATAAGATTTGTTATTGTTGTTTGAATATTAAGAATCAAATATTAAAACAATAAAGAATATGTGTGTGTGTTTCCTCCAAAAAAAAAAACAAAAGAAAAAACACCAATGTGATTTTTCGTTTTGGATCTGCCCCTATCCATGGCATAACCAGAATCCTTCCCATTTTGTTGTATTGTTAATTATTTCATGATCATGTTTATACTTTTCAGCTTCCTTCTTTTTGCTTCCTGTCATAATCCCTCTATTATAATTTTGTGTGTTAAATTGCCTCCATAAGAGAGGGATATCCAATGCCGCTCCACAAGATATACATATGATTGAGAATCATTTTTCCCCTCCTTTGTACACAAATTATCTCATATTGTTTGTTGTTTGAGACTGCAATGCAATGCCACATACATCCACCATAACTAAATGGGGAGGAGTACACAGAACTTACTCTGGATAAGTGTACGCAGAATTGGGTTAGAACTGACATCCAATAATTTCAATGTGCCTCTCAAAAACCGAATGGGAAGGAGTACAATACCTGGTCAATAGAAGATGGGTGTTTACTGTGGTGAAAGGTGGACACAAGAATAGCCAGAGCATGAACGTGGTTCATGCTCACATTGAACTGATCTTGCAGCATGCGAGCTCGCTCATCACACATATTAGTAAGCATTTCTACTCTCCTCAGCTTAATATCATTACTCAGGTGCCAGAATAACCAAATGGACACAACTATTCCAAGTAACACAAATGTAACTAAAAGCTTTTTCCTCCAACTCCCAGCACCCTTTGGATTTTGCCCTGCAGAATGTTGCAACTGTTTCGGCTGTGAAACCAGCTTCTGATTCCAAAGGAAAGGAAACCCAGCCCATCTGCAACAAATTGTAATTACAAGAAGAATCCCCCAGCATCCTATACACAATACCAGATAACCCTGGATAACTAACTCCAATACCCATGACTGCACAATGTTCTGCAAAGCCAGAAGCATGTTCGTTATATTATAGAATGCAGACACATTTGTTTCAAAACGAACAAGAAAGAACTGCTTAATCTGTTATAGCAAAGAATGAGTACTAGAACACAATATCTGATATATATACAAAGGGTACCATCGCATAATCACATTTAACAGGGAAATCCATCATCTGAAACATCCATAACAAAAGCAGACCTCACAAAACCCATACAAGTTTGTTTACATAGGAATGAGATTTATTCAGGTTAAATTCATATGACATGCCAACAATTTTTGTGACATTACTCTGTCTTCTATCATACTTCAAATTCTTCCCCCTATTCTACCAATTAAGCCAATTACACAAGAATGTATTATACTGCTAATTCAGCTAAAAAAATGTCACATTGCTGGCCACGAAATTCAACAGATTCATCTGACCAATTGTGTATGAAAAGGTACATTAGATCCATATAATGCATCATTAACAATATCATGTCCAACCTTGAGTCAGCAGACTAGTAAACTTCACAGGAAATAATAAGCAAAGGTGCCGGGGCTTAATAGCTATGCTTTTGTAACTCCATCAAGTAACCCATGATACATACTCTTCAATGGCATTATGGATGGGACATAGGAGTAATAATTTATGATAATTTATAAGCACTAGCTATTTGGCAATCTGTTTATGACATACATACTCAGCTTTAGTTAAGATTTTACCTTGCCATGAAACAAATTATTGCCCAAATTGGACATGATAGCAGAGTATGAAGCGAATGATACAGTTTTTTCCACTAGCTGTAATGATTCCAGATTTCTCTGCACAGAATCATTGAGAACTGGGCATTGTTCCATAAGTTCTACTTGGCCTGGACCACATATATGCTCCCTATGTAACACCTTATTCTCTGAAAATGTCATCTGCAAGGTATTGCCAAGGTCACTGCTTAACAGCTTTTGCACTCTTCTTTCATCGATACATTGGGATAAAATCTGGATCATAGAGAAGTGAGTGAGATAGAGGGAGAAAAAAAGGAAAAAAAGAAAGCATCACTTTTTATGCTAATTACATACATCTCTACAACAAGCAATGTTTGCTGTTAAGACAAAGTGAGAATATCATGGAAATTTCAGAAATTGTTTCTTTCCTTGTTTTTTCCTTTTTGGTCAACAACTGAAGTGTTCAGTATATAAGTTAATCCTAAGAAAAATTGTGTTACACTTGTGGATTTCTTGATTTCCCAAGTAACAATTCTTCCATGGAGAAGAATCAAAAGAATTATGAAATAAAAAGCAATGAACGGTGCAGAGCAATCCCTGGAAAAAAGCTAAGTCATTTTGGGGCGATGGACGGCACTGCAAGTGCGCTCGATCCAGACGCATTGAGAAAGGAATTGAGAATATGGAAGAGAGACCATAACCGCATGTTCTTGAAGAAAGGAGGTAAAAAGGCATAAACATAGTACCTGATCTGATACAGAGAAGAAGGAAACGAAAGCATGGAGTTGCTTTTTGCTGATATTGTGACGCTGTAGCAAGATTCGAGCTCTCTCTTCACAATCACCCAACCTTTGCTCCTTCCTCAACATGAACGAGTCACTGTGGAAACTGATGAAGAACCACACAATCCCCACCGCAACAAGACCAAGCAAACCCCACACGAAAAAGGGCTTCTTCTTCTTGCATTTCCTGAGTGAAGAATTAGACTCATGCAAAGCTTCATTTGACTTAGCTGACTTGGAACTTGGTGGCATCCTGCCATTTAACCCAGGGAGCTTCCGATTCACAGACATTCTTGCAAAATTGACCCACTTAAAGCCTTAACATGAGCTTCGGCTCAACCAAAACAAACATATAATCCAACTTGCAGGCGAAAATTGATGGAAACCTAACAGTGATTTGGGTAAGCCAGCAGGAAAAACTCAAAAAGTTGAATAAAGTCAAACCAAAAAGGCTAAGAATTGCATTAAACCAAGTGGTCCAGTGTCTATTATCGCTATCCGTGAAGCCTCAAGAGCCATAAAAGACCTGGAATAGCACCATGGGGTAATTATCACCCTGAATCGAACACAGTTGTAAAAATTTTTTGGCAACTTGTGTGTGTGTGTGTGTGTACGAGAGAGAGAGAGAGAGAGAGAGAGAAGAAAATTTTGTTGGTTTTCTGAAACTGGTTGTTTCTGTCTCTCAGAGCCCTGAACAGCAAAAAGAAGCATCAAACGAGTGAAACAGTTGAAGTTGAGTCTCTCATGCATAAGAGGGAAGACCCATTATGAATCTGGCCTCCTCTTTTTTCTAATTAATTAATTCAATCAAATTGAGTTAAAAATGACAAATATTTGCGTTGAGAAATAGAAAGAAACCATTTTTCAAATGAAATTGAGTTGATATTTTCTTTTTTTCTTAAATTGAGCAACAGAAAGAGAGAGAGTTGCTGGCTTTTGCTTTCTGAGTTCGGCGAAATGCAGCATTAGCTAATAGAAGACGGTTCCATGATTATCTCATCATCTTGGTGGGGATGGTTCAACCAAAGGCAAACAAACCAAAATCTTACCTTTGTGAACTATCAAACCAAATACAAAAACACAGAGAGATACAGAGTCAGTGAGTATTTCATTACTTTAATATTTAATAGGGTTCATTATTGAAGTGGAGACACTGACATGGCTTCTTAATTACATAAAAGAACAAGAAAAATATATGGCTTCTTAATTAAATTTGAGCTGGGATTAAGGATTAAGGATTTCTATCAAGTCCTTGACTTCTTGTAAGCTGGGGCATTAATGAAATTTACAGAAACAAAAGGTTTTTTTATTTATTTAGAGCCTATTTGGAATCATATTTATAAGTACTTGTAAGTATGTTTTAAATATATTAAAACAAAATTTTTCTCACATACTTACTTTATATTTTATAAACCATATTTAAAAATTTATTTATAATTCATTTCAAAACAACTGTTAAAAGGTCCACATTAATGTCAATTGAATCAAGGGGCTATTATGGAGATATTAATTAAAGGAATATTTGGGAAGTAAGTACATGAAAGTATATTTTTTTAAAGATATTTTTTAAGTGTTTATGTTTTTCAGACACCCTTTAAATTTAAACAATACAATATAAAACTCCTTAAAGTTTTCTTCTTCTTCTTCTTTTTGATTCTTAAGGTTGCGGGTTGGATTATTTATGAACATGATGGGCATCTGAATTACGCAGGAAAAAACATTAATTGAGGTTGAATTTCTGCGGTTTGGTTAGAATACATGTGGGGGAAGAGTTGAAAAAGACCAGACCATACTGTTTAAAGATGGGGTTGTGAGGTGCTGTACACTGCAGAATACGGAAACACTGATGAGAGAGAGAGAGAGGGAGGGAGGGAGAGGGAAGAAGAAAATGGTTCCAACAAAACCTTGAGAGAGAAATCCAGTCAGACTGAGACAGGGAGAAAGAGAAATTTTGAAGGGGCAGGGGAAAAAAATAGAGAAATGAGATCCATTTCCCACACAAAAACTCCATCTCTTTTTGAACTATTATAAAATCTATAAAAAAATTATGCTATACATAAATTATAAATAATAAGAAAATAATTTATTATAATTCATACATATAATAAAATTCTCAAATTTTAGAGTCACCAAATGAATCTTAACTTTTAATTTATTTTGAATGATTTTATGATAAGAAACTAAAGGATATTGAAAAATGTAATTTGAGACTTCAAATCATTTTTTTAATTTTTTTTTACATAATATTTGAATTTGAGGTCGTTCACTTTAAATATATTTATTTATAGTTTTCTCGAGAGAATTTTAAAGTCAAAGAATAAACACCATAAACTCGATAAAAAGCTAGTAGTGAAAAATATTTTCTTTATTTCTTTAAGAGTTTATGCTCCTCCGGTCCTTAATATAAGACCCATTTAACTAATTTGATTAGATTAAGAAAGTTAGGTAAATTAGTTAATTATAAGAAAAGTGACACATTTTTCCTAAAACACCATAATCATCTTTCTTAATACCCCATCTTCCTCTTCTACTTGATTATGGTTGAGAGAGTATCCATAAGGGTAATTTAGAGAAAATTGATAAATATAAGAAAGAAGTCTTATATTTAGGACCAAAACTAACTCAAGAATTGGGTCCTATATTAAGGGCCGAAGGAATATTAGTGTTAACAATTTCTTACCTCAAAATGAACATTAACAACTAAAAGGTAGCTAAAAATTTAAAGATATGTAACTTTGTCATTTTTTTTTAAAGATATACTAATTAATAAATAAAAATAGGAAGATTTGTAACATTATGAAACATATATCATATTTAAAAAATAGACTTAAAATTCATATATTTTTAATTTTCAAGAACCAGATAATTTTCCATACAAAGAATCAAATAGTACAGCCTGTTTTTAAGCGATTAAACAATATATTCTTAAATTAAAGAAACTAATTAAATAGTCCATATTTACACATATGGTAATTAAAGTTAAATAGTTGTGAAAGTTGGATTGGATGATTTACTTTTAGTTTAAGGCTTAGTGGTACTTATTAAAAGTTGATGCCTATGATGTGTGGTGGTATGTTTGGCATATTCGTCTTTTTATGAACTCACAATAATAGTTTAGAGGAAATTATTTTGAGTGATGGGAGCATCAAATATAATGAATGTGGGGCTCTATACCTTACCCACCCAAATAATATATTGTGTTTATTTATATATATATATATATATATATTATGTGGGCCTAACAGAAAAAATAAGAGTGAGCCCCAAGCATGATGTGAACATTCACAACTAAACCACAAAAAATAAAAAATAAAAAACATTAGAAGGAGAAATTGCAACTTTACACGGTTCTCAAGGAAAACAAATTTGCAAATTCAATTAAAAATATTTTTTGGAAAAAAAAAGACTTAGTAGAAACAAATTTAAATTGTTTACATTAAATTCAAATAGTGTGTGTATGTGTACATATGTGCGTATGTTAATAGAAAGGGTTTTGGCCCCGCGATCTTGAATTCATGTTTGTGTGAATGCCTAAAATATCTTTGGAGAGTTACTCCAATTGGGCCCTAAAATGTTTTTTTCAAAAATAAAAATAAATCTCTCATTATAAATTTAATTGGCAAACAGTCTCTAGGATGATTGATTGCACAAGAGAAGATTAGTTCCACACAAAGAAAGATAAATTACACAAAGAGAAGATGATTTGCACAAAATAGTACTTTGATATAAGGGATTAATTTACACACAGGGAAGATGACTTGCATATAAAAGAATTTTATTTTCACAAAAGAAGATTATTATACACAAAGGAAGATAAATTGCACATAAAAAAAGTCAAGCTGCACACAATAGAAGTTCAGCGGCACAAAGTCCTTAGATCCCATTTGCCAATTAATTTTTTAATGAGGGATTTATTCCCAATTTTCTTACATTTAAAACTAAAACAATCATGTAGTTATATTAAAAAAAATTATTGAAACTATCTTTTTAAATGAAGCAAATGGATCTTGAATTCAATCTTTTTATTTAATCTATGTTTAATTTGATGACATTTTTATATTTATTTCCTTCAAACAAAAAATGACATAAATGACATCAAAAAGAAAAAATAATTAATTAATTAAATTCAAAATAATTTGGATCTATTTCAAAAGAACATGTCAAACCAAAAAATTTAGATCAAGTAGTTAGGGAAGGACAAAGCTATATGAAAATTAAAATGAGAAACTTGTTTCAAAAGCACAATTTGTTTGACCATGATTACATGGGCATTATATTAATTATTACAATATTAATTTACGGCAATATTCTTTTGGTATGTTGTGTGCAAACACACAAAAAAAAACAAAGAGCCCTTCTGTAATATGGACATTATAATATCTTACATGAAGGGTCAATCATCATTTTTAAGAAGGGGATCAAGGCATTGCTTTGCATGCTAATCATTATTTATTACCAATCCAAAAAACAAAGAAGAAGGAATCTTCATATTTTGTGTTTGATTTATTTAATAATGCAAAACCCTTTCTTTTGGTTTCAATATTGTGTTTAATTTTTATTGTTTTGGTTATTACTTATTTATGAAACCTAACAACTCTAGCTAGCCGTACCCACCTTTAAAAAAAATTAGAATTTTAGAGAAAATAGACGCTTTGTTAAATGTTGCTTAAATTTCAAATATAATCTACTTTTTTTTAAAATACCTAAATTAATCCGATTTTAAATTTCTCATTAAAACACCCCTTCATTAAAATCACTGATAAAATTATATTTTGTTTCAATCATTGATATTCTTTTTTTTTTTCGGTAAATAAATCATTGATATTTCAATGAAAGAATTTAAAACTAAACAAAAATATGTTGTCGATCCTTCTACTTTTGAAAAGTCTGTGCATATTACAATGCTTGGTTCAAAAAAAAATCCAAATACATTAATATCATTGATATGTTAGTTAAGAAATTAAAACTCAAGCAAAATTTGTTGCAAATTGTAAATTTTATTTGTCGAAAGATTTTTTTTTTTGTATTTTGTAAAAACCATGTACAATAATTATAAATTAAATTAAGCAAACTATATTTTTAATGTACGAAATTATAAGTTAAAAATTAAAAAATAGTAAGATTTAATTTTTACAATTTAAGAAAAATATCAATTAAAATATAAATTGATTAGTAAAAAAGCGACAAGTTAAAAAATAGAAACTTTCGTTGTAATGTACTAAGTGCTGGCTCTTGTAATGGATTGATGGATACCAATTTTATCTCTATTTAAGCTTTTTTCCGTTTCTTATTATGGGAGGATAGAAAATCTTTTTTTTTTCCCCAGTCACATCAAAGTCTATATTAAATGAAAAAACTAAACAAAATCTACAAAATATTACCTTTATATTTAATTGAATTGTTTGTTATTCTTTTTTAATCTGTCATATTTCTAACTAAATATTTAAGAAAATTTTTTGCAACTTTATAAACTTCATTAAGCTTTTTATATAATTTCCCTTTTATTTTTAAGAAATGTAGTTATTTAATTTTTAAAATTATATTTATAGATAATTAAAATTTATTAATTTTTAAACTTATTTTAATTAATTTTTTGTTTTTTATTATGATATTTATTAGAAGTGATTTATATGAATTTGTAAAGTGCAAAATATATAACTTTATTTTATAAATGTTAAATTTAAAATTAATGTACAAACATAAAATTTTCATAAAAGATTATCATAATAAATTTTTAATTATATACCTTGTTTGAGGGTTGTGATGAGTTTTATTTCTCCAAAATAAA